GCGGCCGCGGGAGTCTCTGGAAGGTCCGCGGGAGGACACGCGCGAGCGCCCGGTCCCGCGCCCGCCGTAGCGAAGCTGCCTCGTCGCCGGCCCCGCCGCCGCCGCCGCCGCCGCCGCCCGCTCCGCCTCCACACTAGCGCCCGCCGGCCGCCCTGGAGCCGTCCGCGCTCAATAAAACGTTCTCCACAGCGTGTTTGTGCAGTTTTCTGGACCACGGGCGCTTATAACCGATCTCACGTTAAAAAAAAAAAAAAAAAATCTTTGACTTCTCTTTTTCTGACTTCAGCGAAAATCCTGCTCCGGGTGCCCTTAGCCCAGTTTCATTCATGCAAGTTATGGCCTTTTTTGCGCCTTCCGGAAGAAACTTTTCTCCCCCCCGCTTTTGATTGATCTTGAGGTAGGGGATTTCAGGTTTGGAGGGATGCTAAGCGAACCTGCAGACCGTTCGTTGCAAGTGATGGTGTGGCCGAGGACAGGGCCCCGCGGCCCGGAGGCAGCTCTTCGTCCTCTGTTCTGGGTCAGGTACTCCACAAGCCTTCGCCGACATCCCCATTCTTCCCGTGAATTCGGTAACGTAGAGTGTGGTGTGTGCTTCCCTTCTCCTCCCTCCCCCGCCCAGGTATGATAAAAAAAATAACTCCACCATGTCTGAACTTTGCAAAGCAGAACTTTCTACGGCGCTAGAATCACGCTTTGGGTCAATTTGGAGGAGTAGCTCTTCAATGAAGTTTGGTTGAACTTAAATTTAAGCCTGGGATCACGGACCTACCTCTACAGAAAAACTGGCGATCTCGGAGCGTTAGGAAAGGGCTAGAGTCACCGCACAGTACAAAGTGGGAGAGGACACTAGTGTCTTCTTGATCAGGTCTAGAGAGGCTGGTCAGGCGTGCCATGTGTCTGCAAGCTTGTTCTCCCAGAATTTGGGAGAAGATAAGATTGTATTGTTTAGCCTCTGGAGTATTCCCCCTTTCTGGCTCTTCTCCTTCCACGCTGAGGTATTACTGCTTAAGGAGAATAGGAATAAGGAAAAACCAGAAGCACTTTATTGAAAAGGAAACATTTTTATGTAGAAATTGGTTAAGCCCTCCCTTTAACCTGTGCTTTTTAGGGAATACCATAGAGCCTGGGAAATGTGGTTATTGAAATTTATTTTACCTTGTTTTAGGGATGAAACGGGTAGCATTAGTCAGAGTATAGGCATAATACTTGTTTATTCCATAAACCTTTGAAATGAAAACTCCACACTCTTTGTTTTTAGCATAGCTGCCAAGTACATTGGTTAATTAACAGAGTTCCAAGCAGATTAGTTTAAATGTATTTGCTTTACCATGTTACTTGCATTTCTTTGTATCCTGTTTTTTTGTATGCTCCTGTATGTGGTGCAGACATTTTTTACTTTAGTTCAGGTAAGACGCACATAGTGCAGTTTGGTGAAAATGATAATTCAATGCTTTCCTTGAAATCCCTGGGGGGGAAAGGGCAACCCATTAGCCCATAATCAAGGTGAACTCCTCCTTGGAGAAGGAGGCCTCCTTGGGTACAGATAGGACATTGTAACAATGGTGAAGTTGTGTGGAAGAGTTCTTGACCTGAATAAAGTCAGATTAAACAACAGCAAAAAGTTATCTCTTTTATTTTTTTTTGTTCCTAAAACTAGTTTTGGAGTAGGTTGTAACTGTCTAACAGACTTTCTAGTTTTGAACAATTTTGCTTTCAACTTAGGAAAATTGGATTCTAAAACAGGATCAATACTTGGGAAAAAATGAATGAAAAAGTTCACGTTAGGTTTATGTGATTGCAGAATCCCACTTGTGAGCTCCTACACCTTTGGCAGGCTTAGGGAACCCCAGTTCTAGTCTGTAGCAGTTTGTTTCGTCTGCAGGAGGCATGTAGTGACGCCTCAATTCCGAGTGGCATGTTTTTCATATTTTTAGATCCTAAAGTGTACACCCCTTTAAAGGGATGGTTTAACCCCCAACCAGTCACTGATGTGTCTTGGAATTGAGGAATGGGCTTATGTTGACAACTCTTAGAGCAGACATGGAAGTTGAGACTGATGGGAGTTTTTCCAGCATTTTTTGTTTGGATTCCCAGGGGTGTCTTTCTTTGTGTTTCTTTTTCGTAGTGCTCTAGAAGCCTGAAGAGCATTCCTGGTCTCTTTGGAGTGTGTTACTCCCTTCTCCCTATTTTATTTCCTTTGACCCCTAGCTGGGCTCCTTAAAAATGAGCATACAAGAATTTTTAAATTGAAAAGGCAGAAACTGTATTGAGGCTATCAGCATGTCTTAAAATATGGAGACCCCTTGTGTTGTAGCACAGTCACCTGTGAGGGTTCCTGTTGAAAGGTTTCAGGGTGTAGTATACAGAATGAGTCCTTCTTGAACTGTACAATTTTGTGTTGATTAGTCACTTAGAATTTCCAGTGCAATGTTTTTCTCAGTTTGCAACAGGGAGTTAAATGAGTCTGCTTTGAGTCACACTTCCAGGTTTATGCATTTCTGAATGTAGTTACCAATCCTCCCAAGAAGAAATTTATTTGCAGGTGCCATTTAGCTGGAATTTTGTTTTAGTGTGTGTATTTCAAAAAGTCTTCATTTTCGTTTCTCCCCAACTTTTACTTTAGTATGAAAAGTAGGTAAAAGTGTGGCTAAATTCTGAAATTGGACATGGTAAAGTAATGGATGTTGTGAAACCAGGCCTTCAGAGGTGATGACTAAAGCCATTTGAAAAGGTTGTTGCTTAGACCAGTCTTAGATCATATTTATAGAAGGGTCTCCAGAATAAAAAGATTTGAGTCGTGTTACACCTATATCAGATAATATCAGAGGAGTTTTTTAACAGCTGAAAAAGAAACCAAGTGCCTGTGAGGAGAGTTCTCTGTTCCCCTCCGCCTTGTCCTCTTGCAGTGGGAACATTCAAGTAGAGAGAAGAGGGGTCATGCATTGGTGGTTAAGGTCTGACACGGATTTCTGAGGACCCTTTTCTGGAGAGTCTGAGGAAGTGGCTGATGTCCCTTCATTTCACCTTGAAATTAGATTTTAAAGATTGGTACTTAATTTCAGTTAGGCGGAAGACAACTGCCAGTACACGAATGATAAAGCCACATACTGTGTAGAGAAGCCTAGGAAAAGCTGTGTAAACTGTATAAAATTTTTACTCTTAGGATGGGTTCAGGAAGAGGAATTTTGAGGTGAAAAAAAGATCTATGCAGAACATTTATATTCTGTGGTTACTTAGTTTAGGAACTTTTTAAGTTTAGGAACATTTTAATTACCATGTCTTAGTATGTTTGCCCAGAGTTGGCATATTTAGAGTTGTGAAAGCCTTGGGCAAATAGTTTTTTTCCTGAAGTTTTCTCAATTGCTACTCAGGAATTTTTACATGAGGAATTAAAGATTAATGGTTTAAGTGATAACTAGCTTAATTGCTAAATGAATACATATGTGTTTGATAAAATAGCATTTATATATCTTCTTGCATATTACATTTTCCTAAGAGGAATAAAAGAGCTGATAGGTACTTTGGAAATCTTGAGTTCTTTTTCATTAAAAGAGTTCACCAGTTACTTTATGTTTAATATTCCTTATTTTAAATTTCATTGAAAAACAGTATGTTTTAAATTTTAAAATCACTCATCGAAATAGTTCTTTGTAGGTAAAGGGTTATATGTTGTAATCTGAGTTTAATTTATAACCTGGGTTTTATAAGTTCAGAAATAGAAGCGTAGTGATATTCCAGTTCTTGAAACGTAGAAAGCCGTAGGTTTTCTGACTGTGCAGTGAAGAGTCTTGTATTTTTCTTTACTCAAGCCTTTTTGATTAGAAAAAACTGGCAGAAGTTTTGTATTTGTTCTAGAGTTGTATCCAAGGTAGGATCTTCTGAAAGTAATACCTACAAAATGTTTACAGTTTAGATAACTTTTGGAGATGTAGATAAACTCAAGTATGGGACTAGCCAAACCTAGGTCATTGTAGCTTCGCTTGTGGGCAACATTTGATAACAAGGAAATAGTGACATTTTTGCTCTCAGATGGTAGCAGACTAAAGTCCAAAAGGAAACCTCTTTGTTCTAGCTGTCAGATGGCTAAGTTAGTGTTTTTCTTCTCATGGGCCCTCCTTGAACAGCTTAGCTTGTATCTTTAATAATCACCCTTTGTGTTTTGTCTGCTTGAAACCAGACAACTTAAAATAGTTATCCAGTAATGAAAGACTTGAGCCTTGTGGGCAATGTTATACTCTCATTTGGTATTACAGTTTTCTTGGGTTACAGCTCATTGCCGCAGCAAGTGATTGAAGAAGGAGTCCTGTTCCTGCCCCTGAGCTACAGCTAAGGTACAAGGAGTGGCTTGGGGGTAAGGAGTCCTTCCTCACCAGACATGGTTTGTATTTATTAAGACTGCTTGTCAGAAATTAACATTCTGCACTGATTTTTTTCCCTTAATTGTTATTCATGACTCATACATTCATTACTGATGTTTATAGGTTTTTTTTTAAAATCTAGGAATTTATATGCAGACTGCTATTGAATCTTCTCACCTTTAGATTACAAAATCACTTTAAAGAAAACTGAGAGCTTGAAAGCAGTGAGGGACAAACTCTAAGGTAATAATTTTCGTCCAGTGCCTTTGCTGTATTTGTAGTACAAGTGTAATTTTTCTGTTAAAGAATATCTCTTTTTAGTGGAAGGCAGTGTTCTTAACCAGCAGAGATTATTGTCAACACATGTAGTTACCTCTTAGCGGAATCAAATTTAAGGAATTAGTCAAATTTAAGGAAA